TTTTTTTTTTTTTTTTTTTTTTTGTCTCTCTATATTAACCGTCGATTGTTCTTTCCTGTTGAATAAACGCTTTCTTTTCCCTCTTTTTCTTCTGTTAATTTTCCCGAGAAACAAACAGAAAAATTTCTGGCATTCATGATGGCTCATCTTTCTTCCGTGTCATGAACATCTCCAGCCTCGTTTCTCTCATCAGGTATTTATCCATCCAAAAAATTAAATATTTAAGGAAGAAAATCTAAATAAATATGTATAAATTTATAGTGTAAAATGCAATCCTTAGACAATTTTGTTAAGCTTATTTAAACGTGGTGTGTGTTGGACAGGCGGGGGTATAGGGCGGGGGCGACGGCGGCGGCACAAAGAGTGGTGTCTGGCACGGCGGCGGAAGGAGTTACTGCACGAAGTGGCGGAATGATAAAGAAGGAAGAAGAAGAAAGAAGTACAGAGATGGCGGCGTGGATCCCGGACCCGGTCACCGGCTACTACCGGCCGGAGAACTACACCATCGTGATCGACGAGGTTGATCTTCGTGCTATGCTATTGAAACCGAAAAGAAACGTAATGAATTGAAGAAAAGGAAAAACGTTTTTATTAATCAATTTTTATTAATTTTCATTTAATACTTTAATAAAGATTATTATTCTTTTCCAATTAAGTTCGATTTTCATTAAATTGTGGGTACTCGACTAGATGCCCCTTCATTGATCTTGCATTCATTTAGTCTGGTCGGATCTACTTTCTCGACTATGTAGCCCATCTTAGTGCAGATCTTGACTATGTAATACAGTGAAAGAATAGCACGGTTCAAAGAGTACTTGTATATGTGATGCAAGTAAACGTGGTAGGCAACGATCTACTCTCGATGATCAAAGCCTTGACTTTCTATGTTATTAGTAAAGTGCGGGAGCGTTGTAGCAGCTTACCGCTTCTCGTGAGAATTCCACTCGCTAATCTCAAATCGTGACCGGGTTATCTTTTCACTCTTGTTTCTTGTAGTTCTACCTTTTTAGAGTAAATTGCTGAGAATTATTGGGAGTGAGTTTTATATTAGTTAATTTAGTGAAAAATCATGAGTTTATAAGTAAGGAAAACTATCTCCAAACCAAAGCCAAAGCCATGAGAGTTTATGCTAAAAGTGGACAATATCATATTCGTGCGGAGAGAAAAGCCCCCAAAGTAAAGCCATGAGAGTTTATGTTCAAAGTGGACAATATCATACAATGGTGGAGAGTAGTGATTCTTAACATAAACGCGTAGTAGACCCTTTTAAGAGTTTTTAATTTTAAAACTCGTCCGTCAGATTATCTTTAAACTAACTATCTAGCCCAAAACGAGTGGAATGAATTAGGTTTAATATGTCTAATTTATTGAAATCCGCAATCAAAGATACAAAAACAAAGAACAAACCAAACGAAACAGATTAGAACTAAGAAAGAGAGCGAAGATCAGCAGAATTTGTTGAAGAAATCATGAATATGGGCGTTGGTTTCATTAGGCCTCTCTTGGTTGATGAAATGAGAAGTGTCTTTCATTACAACCACTTCTTCCAAACCAGGCACGTCCCTTTTGAACCCATCGCCATGGATGTACTCTTGAGCTCCTGGAAAATGGTAGGTCAGGTCCAAATCCCCCACTATGAACTTCACTGGCACCTTGATTTCTGCCCTTGTCCATGCCGCTGTCAGCTCCCAAGTCCTGCACGACATGACAAGTTGAGTACAAAGAGATTTATGTCTATTAACTAAACAGAATTTAAAACAAACATATTCGAGACTTACTTATTATATATGGACGTATGTGTATATATATAATTTGAATTGTTTTAGTTTCATTTATGTATATATATGCATATATGCAGGCGTGTGTATATATATATATATGAGAAAAAGGTTTAAGATCTAGCTACGGCAATTATCAACCCTGAGAGACTCTTAAAATTTGGGAACGAAGCGAATTTCCAAAGAAAAACTACACAGGTCCCAAACGCTAGGGGCAAAACATATAGACAGCCAGGTCACCGAAATGAAGGCCCTAATAGAATGAACAGAAGTAACGACAGACTAAGTGAGTGGACAGATAGACCTCCTCAGAATAACCCGTCTCGAGGACCTTACCTTCAAAAAAACTATCCGACGACACCTTTACAATGCCTATTGTGTAAAGACCCCCACAGACTGTTCTACTGTCTTCATCGGGCCTCTCTCAGTGCACTCCAAATGTTCATTCAAGAGAGCAATGACACGGGAGTTGAGACTACGCCAGACAGGAGGGAAGATGTTTTATCCCAGTGTTTTGGGGCCTGTGTCGTTTTTCTTTGGAAACTAGCTTCATTTACCAAGTCTAATATTTGTTGGCGCTCGCAATTGCAGTAACTAGATCTTAGAACATTTTTCTCATATATATATATATATATACACATATATACATATATATACAAATACATATACATATACATATATAACATAACATAACCGTATATATATACACACATTCGGATGTTAGAACCTTTTGTAATGTTGAAATTTAAATTTTTAGAAATTATATTGAAATAACATTACTATATATTTTAGCTTAAAGAATATATTAAATTTATTGAAATATATAATTTTTTTAATAGAAATTATATTGAAAAATCCCTAAAAGTAAATTCCCTAAAAGTAAATGAAGAATTTTAGAGGTAAAAGGTGAAAAAAAAAATTACCTCTTTATTTATTTATTTATTTATTTATTTTAATATTGTTATGAAAAATCCTGTAAAAAAAAAAGGTGACACTATCGTGGTAAAAAAAAACACTTTTTAATTTAAAAAATGAAAAAGGTGAAAATATTTTGTTACCGGTCAAAAGCTCGGTAGTAATTGAGGCCACCGGTGAAGCCAGTGCGGGAGAACATGTCAGCATAAACGTCGATATCTTCAGGCGTCAGCCACGTGGCGGGCGGCGGCGGTGGAAGCCCTTCAAATTTAACTTCTCCGGGCAAATATGGAGCTCGCGGGTCCCGATTTGACATAACTTCGTTGAAAAACTTTTTTATGTCAACCGTCCCAAACTCTTCCTCGGCCTGTCCTGGTTGCTACACATTAAGAATGAGTCTCATATTGATTAGTTGAGTGGAAGATCATAGACTTAAGAATACTATCTCTATTGGTAATGAGACATTTTCGGGAAGCATACCCTTATAGAGAAGGGTAGGGTGATTCTTAACACCACATGTTCAAAACCAAGTTCAGAACGGATTTTTATGCTTAAAGAGGTCGATATCATACCATTGTGGAGAATGGTGATTCTTAACACCACCGGCTCAAAACCCAGTTCAGAACTAATTTTTCAATGAAAAATGAAATTAGTAATTTTAAATTTGAGTTAATTTACCTGAAATCTGACCATGTAGAATTGGTCCCCAAGAACAGATTTGAAGGCTTCGACAAAGGGCGTGGTGGGGTTTCTGGGAAAAAATTGGACGCTCAAAATCACGGCTGCCTTGATCCGGTCGGGCCTGAACAAACAGAGATACCAAGCGATTATGGCCCCCCAATCGTTGCCAACTAAAAGCACTTTCTCTATGCCCAGCTCGTCAAGGAGACCGACAAGGTCGCCGACGATGTGCAGGGTCGTGTAGGCGTCGGCGGACGGCGGTGCGTCGGAGTCTCCGTAGCCACGGAGGTCCGGGGCGATAGCACGGTAGCCGATGGAGGAGAGGTAAATGAGCTGGTGGCGCCATGAGTACCAGAACTCAGGGAAGCCGTGGAGGAGGAGGACTGGTGGGCCGGTTCCGACGGCGGCGATGTGGAGGTTTATGCCGTTGGTTTTGACGGTGGTGTGGTGGATGGCCTCCATTGAAATGGGTGAGTTTTGCTTGATTCTTGGGTGGTGGGTTTATAAAGAAGGGGATGTCCTGTTCACTGTAACTTGAAATGGTTGTGACGTAGTGGATAGATCTGTTACCTGACACTGTTTCCGAATCAAAATCATTTCCACTTTAGAATATTAAAAAAGTTACACATATTTTCAACTCAAATGTTTCTAATTAATTGTTATGAGTAATTTGAGTTTTGTGTTCGATGCCACGAATTTTCAATAACTAGAAGAGGAGGTCGTAGCTGTACATTGACAACAACTCTATCCGAGTATAAGGGTTCTAGTGCTTGAAAGGACAGTGTTCATCATTTATAAATATCATTTGAGATAAAATAAATTCAAAGTAAAAATTTATGGGCATGATTGAAACATGTCCAAAGTTTAAAGACGTTATGTTTAATTTAATCTGGTTATAAGTTTCGATTCGTGACGAATATTGTAATTTATACACTACTATAACTACTATAATTATGGTGTAACAATATCATATTATATTGGTTTAAAGCGATAGATTCACATTCTCGAGGTTCATTCACATTAATAATGTAGGCGTTGAAATTAAATAATTTCAATTATTGTTTTTTTGGACATTTTTATATTATTATCTTTATTTTCTTGTTGGCCGTCTTTTCATTGATTCATAATTGACTTAATATCTTATAATATCCTATAATTCTTTATATTAAAATTTTGAAATAATAATGGGGATACTGTTAATTTTTTATTTTTCGTTTTAATGATTTTAAAATTTATAATTGTTTTTTTACAATTTATTTGTATAATTTAATAAATATATATATTAAAAAAAGTTTAAAAAGCATTTATTAAAATTTATATAGTTATAAATTTATATTAATATTTCTTAAAAGGAAACTCTTTTTGCCGTATGAGTTTATATATTTATGAAAATTGAGAATTATATAATTATTAATTTAGAATTTTAAAAGGGAATAAATTAATTAATTGATCCCAAAAAAATTGGTCAAAATTCAATATCGATGGCGACGAACTATTAAATAATCCGTATAAAAATATTTATTTCTCTCGCGGATACGTGCAGGTATACATTTGTTAACAAATATAAATAAATGACAAATCCAATAATACAATTTACGCATTATTTATTATATTTTATTTAAAGAAATTGACCTATTCACATCAAGCAGGTTTGCCCGAGAGGTTAAGGGGGAAGACTTAAGATCTTCTGCACATAAGTGCGCGTGGGTTCGAACCCCACAGCCTGCAATTGCTTCATTTTTTTTTTTCATTTTTTATATAGTTAGTATATTCTAGATAAGTGTTTTTTCTTCCAAAAAGAAAAAGAAAAAAACAATAATTAAAGACTTTTCTAGAAATACATTTTAATTTTGTTTTTTTTTATGTTACGTAACGTTATTTCATATTCTGTTAATGTAATTCTAATATGGCATCATATTGTTATATTATATTAGTTTGAATTACTATTTCACCTTTTATTTTCATAAAATTAATTTATCAATCTTTCACAAATTTGAATGTTTTAAAAATAATCAATTTATTAAATATACATATAAATATAAATTTTATTTTTTTCCCTAATTTTCAATTTTATCTATATACGTAAATTTGTTAATAAAAAATAAAAAATAAAAAGAAAGTTTAAGAACCAAATAGATAATTACATTCTAAACCAAACTGCTTGGTAACTCTCCGTAGACGTTACCAAGCAGTCAAGATCACAACATGAGATCGAGAACTAAAACGAGGATCACAACAGTACAAGATGGGTTCTTCTGCATTTAAATATATACAAACATAACTTTATTTTTACACAATCATACCACCAAAGGCTCAAAAACCTTGATCAAGTACAGCAGTTCCTAAACCACCAGAAGCTCAATGATCATCGATTGCCAAAGGAACAGAATTTGCCTAAAGAACCAAAAGTACATCCAATTATCAGATCAAAAGTGGTAAAACAAAGAAAAAAACATGGATGTGTATGTAACTTGGTTAACTAGAACAATAAAATATACTCACCAGATCACGGAACTTGAGAATGTAGAACATCTCTAGATATCGACGCGTCTCGCGCCTTTCGAGTTTCGAAACATACTTCCAGAAACTATAAACTCCAGCCAGAGTCATTAGTCGTTCCGAGTAGATTTTCCATGTATACCTATACGACGAGACGTTGAGAGAATTATCCAGGGTAAGAAGTAAATTTCAAATGTGTATATATTACCTTTCGTAAATTCTTTGGAGTCCCGCTTCGGAGATTTGAATCCAATGACTCGGATCGTCCTTGCATTTCGCAAAGAAATCTACTAAAAGAGTACTGACTTGGTCTGGATGATAAGGGTCAATGTGAAATCCAGATACGCCATGTTCAATGATTTCAGCAGGGCCGCCATGGCAAGTAGCAAATGTTGGTAGCCCACAAGTCATGGCCTCCACAACAGTAAGTCCAAATGCTTCATAAATTGCTGGCTGTAAATTGAAGATCTTAAAGATTGGGATAATACTTCAAAAAGGTAGGAGAAGAAAGAAAAAGAACAGGGAAGTCCATAAATTATCCACCTGAACAAAAACACCCCGTGTGTCTGCAATATAGCGATATAACTCGCCATTACGTGCTCGGTTCGTTTGAGCCGATATCCAACGCAATTGACCATGCAAGTTGTACTTTTTCATAAGGTTATGCATTTTCTCAATTTCTCCCATTTCTTCCCTGTCTTTGGAATCCTTCACATCAACATAACCACCAACCACAACAAGGTTTGCTAGCTCCCTCAGTTTGGCATTCTTGCCATACAGCTCAACTAATCCAGTGATATTTTTCACCTTGTCCAACCTTGCCATGGTGAAGATTAAAGGTTTTGACCTGTCGTCTATTGCACCACTGCGTACGTGCCAAGCAAAGATTAGCATTTCCCGAATAATATGAATTGGCTCCTTAATTTGAAGAATTAACATGAAGAATGATTTGACACCAAACTTCCATCCTATGTAAGTGATTTGTACACCAAAGTTCTGACATGTAAGGCCCGAATGTAAAAGTTGAGTGAAAAAGAGACTTACACATGTTCGTCATTTTGTTCTGGGTCGTACAATAACTTCTCCAGTGATTCGTGTAAAGCTGTAAGCCTCGACTGCTTCTCGGAGTAAGGAAAATAAATGGTCATGTCTGCTCCAGGAGAGACTATATTGAACTTTGGGTCAAAGACATCAATCCCATGAACAACTCTGTATAGCCCAGGAAGCGTAAATGCAGTGTGGCTCTCGTATTGACCAACCGTGTTCTTCCTGCAAGTAAAGTCAGGTATCGACTCAGCAAATTCTGTAACGAAGTTCATTAGAAGCACTCACATCTATTCTTTCAACCAGTTCCTATTTAACATCCAAATCTTCTATAACCATGTTGATTACTAATTAATTGCTTCAAGAAAAAAGGCGATATTACAACAAAGTTGGTCCAACGCAAGGAATCAAACAACATAAAGATAAGAAGACATACGTTCCGGCAATCTCCTGGTATGTACTGGTGATGATAAAATCTGCATTATTCATGGCTATTAAATCAGCAGTGAACTGACATGAGAAGTGATATTTCTCCTCGAAGTTTTTCCAGTATGTGTCCGACTCGGGATATTTTGTCTTCTCCAACGCATGAGCTATGGTACACTACCGATTACATTGCAAACCAAATGTCAACAGAAGACAACAGTTGAAATACCAAAAGCTTCTCCTAATCTAAGCTACCTGAGTAACTCCCATTTTATATGCCAATAAGGAAGCAACAAGATTTCCATCACTGTAGTTTCCGATAATAAAATCTGGAATACCCTGCAGCTCAGCTATGATTTCACTTGCCGCATCCTGTTCCAAATAACATGGTATATCAGAAGTCTGACTCATACACAATAGCGAATAGATCAGTTGTGCAAATATTTGATGACTTGTGAGTAGGTAAAGGCAGGGGAAAGAATGAAAGAAGTGGAGTTGAAATTCAAATAGCCAGATTATGTGTAACAGCCCAAACTCAACGCTAGCAGATATTGTCTGTTTTGGCATGTTACGTATCGTCGTCAGCATTATGATTTTAAAACGCGTTTACTAGGGAGAGGTTTCTACACTCTCATAAGGAATGTTTCGTTCCCCTCTCCAACCGATGTGAGATCTCACAATCCACCCCTCTTGGGGGCCCAACGAACTCGCTGGCACACTACCCGGTGCCTGGCTCTGATACCATTTGTAATAGCCCAAACTCACCGTTAGTAGATATTGTCCACTTTGACCTGTTGCGTATTGCCATCAGCCTCATGGTTTTAAAACGCGTCTACTAGGGAGAGGTTTCCACACCCTTATAAGGAATGTTTCGTTCTCCTCTCCAACCGATGAGTGATCTCACATTATGGGTTCAATTGGTGTGAGTGTCACTAATGAGTGCAAAGGAAGCACTGTACTGAAAATTAACACATTTACGCACGGACAGATGTAATGTAAATAGCTTCAGTTTCACCTAAGCAGTTGGGTTTGTATAAATAAACAGATATCAGATAATAGTGTAATCAGCAAAGTGTTGTGAGCCTTTATGTAGAATTGCACGCATTACCTCAGCAAAGGTCTCTAGATAAGGCCATACATCAAACCTTGAAATCCATTTACGTAAAATTCCTTTTTCTGACCTAAAAGGAACGCGCAAAATGTGTGAATGCTCGGTTCCACCGACTTTTTCCAGATGCTGATTACATGTAGTTCCCTTTGCATCCGGTATTAACCGGGTAACCTGTGTCAATTACCCACAACATGATTAGATTACAGAAAAACTCTGGCAAGGAATTAAAGGTCTGGATATAAATAGAAGGAAAGAACTCAAGTACTTATCAAAAGGAAACCCAAGTTTTACTCATGGAAGTTGGGGAAAGAAGCACACTTACAATTAAAATTCTAGGAGTTACATCTAACCCTTGCTTCTTAATTCTAGTGATCATTTCCTTCTCCAGCGCACGCACCTGGTCCAAAATATAA